TTTAATGCTACACAATATGTATTGTGGTACTTTGAAGGAGAATGCTGCCTTCTATTTCTATCAACATTGGTTACTTTGTTTTTATAGTGCTTGTTCATAATTGATTTAGATAATAATCAATATGATCCACTCTTAATCTGGTTCAGAATGGAAGATTCTTTTTTATAACCTCTTCTCAATGTATTGTTGCCATGTTGAATTTTCATTATGTTGTCTCTTCATTGCCGAATTACAGATCAGTCCACAAGAAAAGCATTCAAAGCAGCATAGAGCATCAGGAGAAAGAAAAGACCAATATCTGGAAAATGGTGGTTCGCTTACTCAGTATGGTAACATCAAGCAGTTTGCAGCCAATTCATCCTGTCAACTGTTTTCCTCGTCAGACCTACAACGGAACAAACAAAACATTGGACCTGATTCTGTGAATGACATACAGATAGATATTCCTCATATGCATCTCAGCTACAGAAATTCTTCTGATCAAGTTTCAATCTGTCCAACTCTGTCTGGTGCAAAATCTGAAATAATGGTCATCCTTCTTCGAAAAACGAATCATCTTATGCATCAAATCTGGTACGGTCTATGGAGTGTTCTCGTGGTCCTTCATTTGAAGCTCTTGCCATTATAACCATTGAGAAGAGGGGAAAGCCAACTACTACAAATGCCAAACTTGCAAAAACGGAAAGTAAGATGGCAATTTGTGAAATCGAAGAAGTTAGTGTCGGAAATCCGGCGGAAAGAGAATCTTCAAATGCAAGGGAAAGCTCTTGTGCAATTTCTCCTTTGGATGAAGTCTCACAAGAAGCAACTAGTTTTCGACAGCTTCAACAAGTCATGGAAAAGGTATAGTAGATGCAAAGGTTTTCTTATGTGCAAGTTGCACGTGTTTTTGTTACTTGATCTGTAAACATGGTATTGATCCAGTCAAAATATTTGAAATTTCAGTTGGATATCAGGACAAAACTGTGCATACGGGATAGCCTGTATCGTTTGGCTACGAGTGGCAAACAAAGGCACAATTGCTCAAAAATGAAAGGTGGCATCGGTGATGAAAAAGATGCAAGTGGTTCATTGGTGGCCGATGAAACAAACAAGTATGTTTTAGTTACTTGAATCGTGGATTTCCTGGAATTTCTCAATATCACTACTTAAACTAAACATAAGATAGTTAATGGTGGTGTATAGAATGGAGTTTTAGGGTCCAATTGTTAAGTCATCTTCGTTCTGAGTTAATCTAATCTTTCAGATAATTCATAATTCTAAATTTTGGTTTATCCAGGTGCACTGGGTTTATGGATATGGAAACTGACACAAACCCTATAGATAGATCCATCGCACACCTACTATTTCACAGGCCTTCAGATCCATCTCAAAGGCTGGTTATCGGTTCCGTGTCGTTGAAGTCCCATGGCATGGTAAGCATTCCTTTATCGCCCGCCGTTTTTCATTTTACGAACTCGAAGAAAGTTCATGTTTCGTAATGGATTGAAATGACAGATTCATGGCTCTGTTACAAATCCACCTCCAATGATATCTGAAAAACATGTTGGCAACTATGGAACCGATGCCGTCAGTTCAGATAACAAACCATTGACGAACTGTGACAGCAGGTGACCGGGAACTTATTAACATCATTGTAAAATTTAATCTATTTATATATGATCATGTACAATGGTGATCGCTGTGAGTCCGGCCTTGACATAAGATTCAACTATAGAATCCACCACATTTTTCTTAATGTTTTTAAAGAATTTTAATGATTTTTTGCAACGATTTAATGATTTTTAAAATTTTTAAAATGGTTGAATATAATTATAATTTTAAAAAATAAATTGTTTTTTTAAAGAATTTCTATATTTTTCTTATGGTTTCTTAATTTTTATAATATTTAAAATTTCTACTTATTTTTACATGTGACTCTCTCTCATTTATTCATGTTAATTTCTTTTTAATGAAAAATGATGAGTGGAATGAAAGTAAAGAGACCAAAAACATAAATGAGAATTTCATTATAGTATAAAAATCAAATAAATAGTAAATTTTTTATTTACAATTTTCCCCTCCTTAGTATATATTTTGTTGTAAAAAAATTACAATTCAAGAAATTCTACAATTCAAAACTGTGAAGCACGAGTGTAAAATAGTAAATAAAATCCTGAAAACATGTAGAATTTGATTAGCGACATCAATGATTGTAACCTCAATCCCAATGAACAAGCAAGTTGAATTACCCATTGAATCAATCCGCAGTTTAAATATTCAAACCAAACTTCTATTTAAACATGGTAAATAATAAATTCGAATTAATTTTACTCGATTATTTTATAGAAATTAAACGACATGAGTAATTAAAAAGACTATTGTTATCTCAAATTTGAACACAACATTTATAGGTTGATTTTGCTCTTTGAACACTCTGATTCCTGTCTCTTGTTGTTGGTAATGGCTTTTGGTGATCTTATTTATATTCACTATTTTAGGTTGTTAAAGAAGTAAAAATCGTTGAAAACTTTAAATTCACATTTATAACTTCTAATGACATACAAATGTCACTTTTTATAGAAAATAAAAGTAATATTTGTGGTCTATTTTTTTAATCAAAATAATATAAATATATTTAACTTCAACAACTCAATATAACCTCTTTTAACTTTTTATTAAATAGAAAATCTTTAATTTTGGCACTCCAACCCAAAGCTTTTGGCTTTATACTGGATGGTGATGATATTTGGAATCCGAAAATTAAAAATAAAACAAGCAAACCTCAATAATTAAAAGTGTAATAATCCAAATAACAAAAACAAATCCACAAACCTTCAAAGTTTGATGTTGTAAAAGATAAAATATAACAACAACAACCATTAAGAGGTGTTGTTTGAGAAAGCCAAGAAAACACACAGTTGTGCAAATCCGGGTACCCGGATTTTCGGGTACCCGATTTCCGGGTACCCGGAACTTCCGGGTCGACGATTTCTCGGCCCGTGTCTCGACCCTGATGTTACGGGTACCCGGTAATCGGGTACCCGGATTTTGCGGGTACCCGGTAATCGGGTACTCGATACCCGGTTTTTAATTTTTTATTTTCAAATTATTAATTTAAAAAAATATACACAAATTTAAATGTTCAAAACTTCGAATTACATACTCTAATATCCGAACATAAAATTTAAAAGTTCAAAATACAAAATATAATAATCCATAATATAAATAATTCATTATATTTTATATAATTATATATAAAAAAATAAAAAAAATAAAAACTAACCGGATACTCGGGTAACCGGGTACCCGGAAAAACTAGATTTTGTGACCCGGGCCCGACCCGGTAAATGTCGGGCCGGGTACCCGACCCGGTCGGGTAATTTTTTTTAAAGAATTATCCGATTTTTTTAGATCCGGGTCGGCGGGTCGGGTCAACCGGGTCGGGTAATTTTACACACCCCTAAAAAAAACCCCACATAAATCCAATGTAACTAAATCGAAAACCACAAGTCGTTTTCTAGTTCGCTAACTCTAATTTTCTGAACTGGGGTTCATTGTAGAATAACTGACGTAAGCATGCATATTTTTAACCAATAAGTTCTTAAAAAATGGCACTTTGAACTGCATACGATTTGCCAGGTTGAACTGTTGAGGTAATCGATTGACGGAATCGGCCAAGAGGGGGTGAATTGGTAATTAAAATTTTGTGGAAGCTTTTGCAGAAAATTGAAAGTATTTGCACAGCGATTTAGAGTGATTCGACTTTCTCAATCAAAGTCTACGTCCACTACCTTAACTATCTACACTAAGGATTTTCCAACAAATTCACTAATTTGTTCTTTCTTTTGAGGCCAAAGAGATAACCTTACAACACCCTCAAGAATTATACCCCAATTCTTGAGAACATTTTTTCTCAAAGAGAAGATTACAAATTTCACAAACTTACAAGAAAAACCTCACAAGGTAAGATGTTTGCACAATTCTAGAACAAAGAAAGAACACTCAAGAATAAATATAATTGAGCACAATAAGTGTTCTTGAAAGCAAAATGAATATTGAATGAAAAATAGGCTTGAAATGCTCAAACTTAAGGTTTGATGCTTTTTCTTTGATTCTCTCTTGATTCTAGTTGCTTTTTGTTTCTTGTTATTGATCAATGGCTTCTAAGCTTGTTTAAATACACCTTGAATCACTTCTGAACGTTGGGATCATTAATGAAGTTATTGGAGCCATTTAAGTGTGAAAACAATTAATATTTCTGCTTGGAGCGTGGGGGGAATCGGTACCCCCTCATGGGGAATCGGTTCCCTAAGTGTAAAATTCAAATATTTCGACCGTTAAACAGGGGGAATTGGTTCCTTCCGAGCATTCTGTTTTTCTCGAAGCCAAACCATTTAGGGGGAATCCGTACCCCCTTGGGGGGAAATCTGTTCCCTCTGAGCAATCTGAAATTTTTGGCTTTGAAATGGTTCGAAATATTTTGTAAAATTGTTTTGAAATTATTTTAAGATTAAAACTTAATTTTACATTTGAGTAAGGATTAAAAATGACATTTGAAAGATTTGGAGTAATATTTTGATATTCGAATAATTATATCGAATATACTTAGAAAATCTTTTTGGAAAATCTTAAAATTCATTTATCTTAATTTTGTAGATGCTCGTTTTGTCCGGGGCTCTCGTTCTAGTTGTTATTTTGTTTTTTTTTTTTTATATTCTCTAGTTTTTTTATCGAGTCTTGTATATCTATTAGTTTATTATTGGTATGTGTGTTTAATTGCGTATTGACCGTTTCTTTTATTTATATGAGTAGTTATGTTTGTGGTCCTGTAAAAAAAAAATATATATATATATATATATATGTATATGTATTATGGGTATATGAATTAATATGCATGATAAATGGACTTACTAAGTGTTTTATTGTTACAGGCCCGAATTGCCAACATATTACAACAATACCCAAACTAATGAAGAGCTCAACAACCCAATTGTAGAGACCCTAAGCCGTTAGGGTTTCTACAATCCCAGTTTCCAGCACCGCAACATGAAGGCCGTTGGATTTTTCATCGGGATCCAACGGCTCACAACGTCCCAAGCATCTCGAGCCAGCGCGTAGATGCTCTCAGAACTCCAAGACATTGCGCGAACCAACCGAGTGCTACCCACGTGAAGTCCCTCGGGGCTGTTCCCCACCACCCGTGCCCGGGCAGCTGAAGCCCGTGACCAGCTCGCACCCGTGACCTGCAAGCACACCAAGCAAGGAGCAGAACGAAAGGCACAGAAAACAGAAAGAAAAATCAACTAAATATAGCAGTGAAAATGAAATCGAGGGGGGGGGAGATGATCAACCAACAACGAAAGCACAAAAGAGGAGGGATCCTGAACCAATCAGTAGCAGAGAAGAATAGAAAATAGAAAGAAAACACAAATCAACAAAAAATGAATCATCGAGAGAACCAAAAAAGGAAATCGTTAACAGTGACCCCAAAAGCTTTGAGCAACAAACCCATAAACAATCGAAGAGCAAAAATCAACAAAAAGGGAAAAACAAAACCCTTACTTCCTTTTATTGAAAAGAGAATCCGTCACCGTCGCACAAAACCCGAGCCCTGCTGAGTCATCGAGGGTAAGATTTCCACCTCTAGCTATTATTGCTGCGTGAGAAATGGTTTATTGAGTATGGGTTTTAAGGGGTTAGTCTCAGGTTTCTGGGCTGAGGTTTTTGCATATAGGTTTGTAGTTTGGTTTTGGTCCCCATAGTTAATGTTGGCATCAGAGAACGGTGGAGGTGAGTGAGAGGCCAGTTACGTCGTGGGTTTGAGGGATTTGAAGGGTTCTATCAATGGGGTTTTTACTTGAAGAAATTAGACCTAGGTTTTTATGGGTAAGAGAAAGGCTTAGGGCTCGCTTGGTTCCTCATCGAAACCGTTAGGGTTGACGGAGGCCACGGTGGCCATTGGCGTTGGGGGTTTTTATTTAGGTTTAGGCTTGAGGCTGGGAAGGGAGAGAGTTTGGAGAGATAACGGCTGGGGGTGAGGGTTGTTTGGTTTAGGCAGAGTGAAATAATGAGTTAGGGTTCTAAAGTTTACCCTAAAATCCTTTATATTCATACGTCCAAACGACGTAGTTTTGAACGGCTCCAAAACGGCAGCGTCTTGATAGCGGGGGGGGGGGGAATCCATGTTTTGGGATGGTTGGGGGTAACCACGCGTAAGGTCCAGTAGGTTCGATCTGTCTCATTTTGGTCCCTAAATCAAGCTTTCTTGGGGTTTCAATTTTACCTCCTAACTTTCAGCGTGTTTCATTTTAGTCCAGTTACATGTTATGGTTGTTTTTGCGCAAATTTTACATTGGATGTGTAATTTGGGGAACTTGCATTATGATCATGTGTAGCACTTTTGTTATATTATATTTGGGGAACTTGTAATTTATGAAAAGTGCACGCTGTTTGTTTTTCTTTATATTTTAGTCCATTGTCTAATATTTTTATGCATGATTGTAGGTTTAATTTAGATTTACTTAAGTGTATGCATGCATATAGTATTTTGTTGTTAGTACGAATATATTTAGGTGTATTTTAAAAAAAAACAGTTGGCCTCATGTGAATAACTCAACTTGATTACATAATCGGATTAAGAGTAATACCCTCTTAATTTAAAACTGTCAAAATAGCTTTTCTTAACTCAAAGGGAAGTTTTTCTTGACGATTTTAAATTACAAGTGTATCCCGTCATTGTCACAAAAAAATGGATTCTTCACTTTAAAATTTGGGAATGAAAGAAAAAGAAATATTCAGCTATTTAAATTATTTGAGAAAAGATCTTTAGAACTCACCTAAAGATCTGGTCTCGATATTTTTAAATAATCGAATATCCTTTATCTTTCTAATGACTTGGTAATTTTAAATTAACATATTTTGTTTCTTTTCAATGTTACAAATTTCCATTTTTGTTGTTTAAAGGGATCATTAATCAAATTAAACTCGAACTTGTGAAATTCGTTGCAAAGACATTAATTAATCGACTAGGTACCGATTTAGGGCGTTGTGGGGGTGCTAATCCTTCCCCATACGTAACCGACTCCCGAACTTGGATTTTGGTAACGTAGACCGTAAATTTGTCATTTTAATTAAAATTATATTTTTTATTTAAAATGACAATGTTTTTTGGTGCCCAATCACACCCTAATCAAAGATTGGTAACGACTCCTCGAACCTTATATTTTTATCGTAAAGGAATTTTCAATTTTTTGAAACGAGAGGGTTTCTAAAATTGCATTGTTTTCAATTAAAATTCAATTGAAAAGAGAATAATTAAAAATGACGCGGTTTTCTAAATCTCGCCCCGCACCGGTAAAAATCGTTTCTACAGCTTGGCGACTCTCCACTGGGGACTTTTTTTAGAGAGTCAGGCCGATAGTCGATTAATTAATTGTATTTGCAAACGAAAGTTATAAGTTCGTTTTAATTTGGTTTTTGATCCCTTGTTTGTTTTAAATTTCTTGTTTGCATTTTAATTTGTAATTTGGTCAACAAGTAAATAGTTGTACTAACGTGTGATTTGCATGTTTCAGTTTTCTGAACGTTACTTTGGTTTGTGATGTTTCTTGGATTGAGGCAAAGGATTATGGGTTTCCCCTTACTGTCATTATAACCATTCGATATTTAGAGCCTTCTAACTGTGCTCTGTCCCGTTAGGTAGGGGTGAATGCTACGCTTACGTGAGAAAAATTACTTTTCTCCGCATGGGCTTTAGAAATAACCTCTGGGGTACATGCCTTATGTTTACGAGTGAAACATTGAGTTTCCTCGTATAGACATAGGGAAGTGTATCCTCTTGAATTGAACTTGATCCATTTTAATCCTATAATGGGTGAAGATCGAGGGTCTGGCAAGCCCAAGGGGGCACCAGCAAAGGATAATTCGAGGACCCTTTTAGAAATACCGAAACTCTACCCATCTTATGTTGAATCTCTGTCCGCAGACATAAAGGGGAAACTCGTTCTAACCTTTTTCTCGAATTTATTTTTGCAATAAGTATGAGAACTAGAAAAACATGCAGTTAGGTTTTATATTCCCGCACAAAGCATGTGAATTAGATACCATGCAGTTAGGATTTTATGTGAATGACAAAGAATGTGGGTATATATCATGTTGGGTAGGATCTACTAAAGCATGATTGGTAGCCATCATGTGAGGGTAGGTTTTATTTGATGTTTACGGTATCCACTATCTTGTTGTTTATCTTATGTGCACTAACCCGTTTTTGTTCTCTGTCAATTTTATTTTGATTTTATTGCATTTGCATCCTCATGTCATCGAGGGGTGTTAATTCGCAAGTGATTGACTAACAAGAAGACTGACCATATTGAGGCAAGAAATTCTCCACTATGTAGTCAAAACCAGAAGATCCAGAGATGTTCAAACGATCCACGAAGAAGGACGCCCGATGAATGAAGAGATCTGAAGCTGATTGAAGAATTCTTTAAAAGTGCAAAGGTGAAAAGTTGACTCAAGGGATCGATACAGTCATACCAAGGACGAGAAGACCATTCATAAAGACAAAAATGCCCTTCATAACGACATAAAGACCACTTCGTATTGAGGAAAGAATGAAGATTTCAAGATTCAATTTAAAGACATCCGACGTCATCAAAGGTAATAAAGTGCGCCAACAATTTTGGAGGTGCAACCAGATCCCATGAAGAGTATGACTCAAGGAAATGAAGAGATGAAGACTCACAGTTGTATTTTGACTACATGGTGCACTTACTGAATTCTTGTTATCTAAGTGAACGGTTGTTCTATAAGTGTCACTTTTGGGATTAACACCTCTTGCATTTGCATTTGCATTTTGCATTTTGCATTGCATGTAGTTATTTAAGCATTTTATATGCATTAACTATGGAGACACAGAAATAACTTATGAAAGATTTTTGTTCAGTAATAACAAGAGCATTCATTCATAATGTTCCTCATCGTCATGAACAAACAAATGTAAGCAATGGAGTAATCTAATGAGAAATCACAAGATATGTTGCAAGAACAGTTGGCTGATTTACAACAAGATACGAGGAATCAAGCATCGGGTTCTCTGCAAGGCGCATCGAATCAAATGACCCAGGTGCTGGCAACCAATGCTGTTTGTAGAGAGGAAATCACTGATAAAGGACACCAGTCTCATTAGAGTAGTGCATCAAATGTGATAATCTTCCCCATAGCATCTAACTCTAACTTAGGGAAGAGCCTCGTCAATTTTGAGCAATTTGAAGATGAATTCAAGTGGTTGGACGAATATGTTAAAGAGATGAAGGTTGTTAATGCCTCTCATAAGGAGTTAGAAGCTAGGGAACTCAGTTTGGTCCCCGATTTGGTCATCCCACATGAATTTAGGGTGCCTAATTTTGAGAAATATGATGGCACCAGTTTCCCCCTAATTCATCTGAAAATGTTTTGTAGAAAGATGGAAGGGTACTTAGATGATGATAATCTGCTGATTCATTTCTTCCATGATAGTCTTGCTGGCCCAGCTGTAGTTTGGTATAATCATTTGAACAGAGAGCATATCAAGACTTGGGTCAACTTAGCTGATGCTTTTCTGGGGCAATATCGATATGTTAAAGGCTTAGCCCCAAAACGTCATCACATTCAGAAGATGAGGATGAAAGCTACTGAGAGCTTTAAAGAATATGCCCTAAAATGGAGAGGAGTGACAGCACAAGTTTAGCCTCCTTTGCTGGAAGAAGAAATATCATGTATGTTTCATGATTCTCTCCCAGCCCCTTTCTTTGAATTAATGCTGGGAAATTCGACGAATGGCTTCAAAGATCTTATGGTGGCTGGAGAATCAATTGAAGATGCAATCAGCAAAGGAAACTTGAAAGTCACTTCCAAAAGCCCAAGAAATCAAGAGAGAAGAGATTATGAGGTGAATGAATGTCACGTCCAGAGCTCCTACAACCGTAAAAGAAAAGGGGCAGCAAGTTACTCGGGTCATCCAAAGAAAGTCCCAAGATCGAAAATACTTTGAAAATGTTCCAAACTTCTATCTCAGATCTGTATCCCCATTTGATTAAATATCAACACCTCACATCGAGGCCAGTGAAAATGCAACCAGACCCTTTGCTCATAGCTATGATCAGGATAGTGTTTGTGATTTTCACTTGGGGGCATTGGGGCATTCTATAGGGAATTATAGGCCGCTGTTGAAAGAAATAGAGAAGCTGGTTAAAAATGGGACATTGACACATGAAATGGTGGAACAATGGATGACGAGCTAGAGTGGAGCACCAAAGCACAATATATAGCACCTGATCGAATCAAACACCACTACATCAGAAGAACAATGGGGGTATCCTAATTATGATAAATTATTTTGTTCATCATGAAACTTTTTGTCATTTGCAACATCTTGTTTGAACATATTTTTTTCCTCTTTCTCATCTTTTGGAAAGGATTTTTTAAATGAACTTAAATCATTTTCCAAAGGTCGCGAGCAATGAATCAAGTTTTAATCTTGTAATTCTTTGAATATCAAATAAGTTAAAGGTTGTTTTGCTACTTCATTAATTATATGCTTTTGACAAGAGGCAAGATTAGACCTTCCATGTCCCATCCAAAGTCGAAAGAACCATTGTTGGGGTTTTTACCCGAAATAACACCAAGATCGAACATTGACATCACTGCCCCAGCCTCAATAAATCCTAAGAGCATGACGAGGACCTTTTCTGCGAGAAAGACAAGATGGAGTGTTTCAGATAAAAGACATGCAAGGACCACATAGAAAAGAAGAAATAAAAGGAATCATTGAAATAATTCTATCATGCATTAATTATATTGTTTTTCATACAAATAGGGTTAATCCTAAATATTCGTCCCACTGGGAATACCTCTTTTACAAAGACTTCCATGTATGAGATGATGAACGGCTTTGTTTCATTTATCCCTTCAAATATATGTATATATATACCCCTTTGTTGTCCCCTTTTGAGCTTATAGTATTTTCTTTCGGATTCAACCTAAACCAAGGATCACCTTCCACACTGGGGGGAAAAGGTGAATAACATCTCTCGATAAAGTATCCCACAGTCCAAAGGCGCTCACGAAGACTGAGAACCAGTGAACATCTCCAGAAGAGAAACAAAATGGTTGCCTCGTCAGATCAATAAAACGCCAAAATCAAGGATAAGAAGCCAAACTAAAACACATTACCTTCCCAAGTCAGCTTAAGCCTTTTTTCAGCATTAGTCTTTACACTTGTCAAATGTATATATTTTTTTAAGGATTAAAAGAAAATTTAACTTATTTAATAGTCATTGAACTCTTGTTTTACAATTTGTTTCAATTGTGAGTCCGAGGGAAATGACAAGTTTTTTGAGATTTATTCATAAATTTTTCACATTCCCTAAAAATAAGAGAAAAGGGAAAAACATTTTCAAACAGGACAGTTTCAAACGTGAAAAGTCCTTGCAGCTGGTGAGGCTCATTATGCCTCTATCGGAAGAAAGAGAATAAACAGTGTTAGAACATGAAGTATTCCCTGAGCTTGAAGCAGATGGTCCAATAAATCAGAATTAATGAAGGAAGGAATTGTAATATTCCCTTGTGACGCTGTCAGTAACCCATCAAGAAGAGGACGACCTCATTGTTCAGAAGGGGCACATTTTACAGCTTGTATAAAAATGCAAGACATTGTGTTAGAATGGTTGATAACTTCTTAAGTAGCATGAAGAAAAGCCCTCAAACTATTTGACAACATTACTATGTAGTGACACCAGAATGAGAGCATTCAAGTTAGGATATGTTGGGGCACGACTGAACCCGCATCATGTTGAGATGACAAGATTCAGACCAAGGAGGCATGAAGAATGAGCCTTACAATTTGAGGTGATGGGGTATTTTGAAGGCTCTACCAGTATAAGATAATGTCGGGGCATGACTGAACCCACATCATGTTGAGATGACAAGACTCAGACCAAGAAGGCATTGAGAGTGAGCCTTACAACTTGGGGTGTTGGGGAATTTTGAAGGTCCGTACCAGTATAAGATGATGTTGCAGCACTAGTGAAGGCCTATTTCTGCTAGAGGTGTTAATGTGGGGCATCTTTGGAAGCCTATTAAGACCCGTGGAATGATCATTGAATTGAACAAATAATTCCAAAGTGATAGAAATGTATGAAGAGTGAAAATGGTGAAACAATAACAGTGGGGTTTACTGTATATGATCATTTTGTTCATCATCAGTTGCATTACTCTTATAATTTCCACTGAGTTTTGGGTATCCTGGTAATACCATGCAAAAACTCTGAAGATTATGAAAAGGGCTTCTCTGGTTGAAAGATATGAGCAGAAGCCACATGAAGAGATGAATATGTTGTCAAATGATTTATGAATCAGTAAATATGATGCTGAGTCGATATTGCGATCATGTGTTGTTTTCATTACCCAAGATGAAGGTTGTCTTACGCGACTCCAAGGTTAAAATGAGACATGATTTGGTGACATGAAGAATTGGGGTAGATCCTCCTTGGATGTACTGCAAGAGTTAAATCAGAATAGATGCATCTCTCCCTTTGATCTTTGTGGAGTTTGGCGTAGTCGTATACATAGTATCCAAAAATTGGGCAACACAGTCATATTTCTGACCATAGCAAGAAGTTGAGAGAGAAAATGTTTCCTCCAAAATGAAGACAGAAGACAAAGACGACAAGAAGATAGAAGAAGATCAAGGGCTCGTCAAAGATACAATTTTAAAATTAGATGTTGTATGGGTATCCAGAGCAAACCCTGGAAAGGATGATCTAATGGAAGAAGATCGAGCTCACTACTTTAAAGCCAAGTGAATATATATTCAACATTTATGCATTCATGAAAACATCATTTGCATAAAAGAAAATGCATTACACTGGTATATTGAATTGAATTCGTGTTTCTTGCATAACAACATGATTTTGACAAATCTTCCAGCGAAAAGAGAAGAGATAGAATGTTAAAATCTTTATGATTGAAAGGAAGATTTCAAACCTCAAGCATAAGGAGTTGTATTTAAAGAGACATACCCTGAAGAACAGAGAGGTCTAATCCACAGAAGAAGCATTGCTTTGAAGTGAAGACCATCAGATGTAGAAGAAAAACAAGGATTTTCGTGTCTGAAGAAAGTAATTAATCGATTAAAGTGACTTGCACACAGTAGATTGGGGCAAAGTCAATCTTAAGCCATTTCCAAAGAGTAGTGAAACAACTCGATCTTCACCACAGAGTAGTAAATCAAATCAATCTAAAGCCTTCACCAAAGAGTAGTGAAGCAATCCATTTTAAGCCTTCTTAGAAGAGTGTTGGAGCATACCATCAGATCATTAGAAGTGGAAGAAAATCGAAGATTCTCGGATACGAAGAAGCTGATCAAGTGATTAAAGGAGACACGTACGAGGAGTCATTAACCAATTCAAGGCCCTAGGAAAGGAGATGTTCAAATGACATCCAAGTCAAGGAAGATTCTCGCATTTAGTTGTGGCGAGACAAGCTCTCACCAGATAAATGAATTTAAAAAGATTATCTTAAATTCTAAATTTTGAGTATAATGTTTTTCAAATCTTCAAGCATACACTAATGAGTTGTATCGTTTGATTTTTTAGGTTTGACCTTTGAAGCAAACCAACTTAAGCCTTCACGAAAGAATAGTGAAGCAAGTGAAGATGTTCGAGTTCTATATTCCCTAGAGAAAGAGGGAGCGAACCCATTTGAAGAAGATATATGAGTTCCATACTCCATAAGGAAAGAATGAGGGAACCCGTTTAAAGAGATGTTCGAGTTCTATACTCCCTAGAGAAAGAGAATGTGAACCCGTTTGAAGATGTTCGAGTTCCATACTCCTTAAAGAAAGAGGTAGCGAAACCGTTTGAAGATGTTCGAGTTCTATACTCCCTAGAGAAAGAGGGAGCAAACCCGTTTGAAGAAGATATTCGAGTTCCATACTCCCTAAAGAAAGAGTGAGCGAACCCATTTGAAGAAGATATCCGAGTTCCATACACCTTAAGGAAAGAAAGAGCGAACCCGTTTGAAGAGATGTTCGAGTTCCATGCTCCATAAATAAAGAGATAGCGAACCCGTAAGAAGAAGATGTTCAAGTTCTATACTCCCTAGAGAAAGAGGGGGCGAACCCGTTGGAAGATGTTCGAGTTCCATACTCCCTAAAGAAAGAGGGAACGAACCCATTTGCAAAGGATTATTCAAGTTCTATACTTCTTGAAGAAAGAGGGAGCGAACCCGTTTGAAGAAGATATTCGAGTTCCATACTCCCTAAAGAAAGAGGGAGCGAACCCGTTTGAAGAAGATATCCAAGTTCCATACTCCTTAAGGAAAGAAGGAGCGAACCCATTTGAAGAGATGTTCGAGTTCTATACTCCTAGAGAAAGAGGGAGCGAACCGTTTGAAGATGTTCGAGTTCCATACTCCCTAAGAAAGAGGGAGCGAACCCGTTTGAAGATGTTCGAGTTCTATACTCCCTAGAGAAAGAGGGAGCGAACCCATTTAAAGAAGATATTCGAGTTCCATACTCCCTAGAGAAAGAGTAAGTGAACCCGTTTGAAGAAGATATTCAAGTTCCATACTCCCTAAAGAAAGAGGGAACGAACCCGTTGGAAGATGTTCGAGTTCCATACTCCATAGATAAAGAGGGAGCGAACCCGTAAGAAGAAGATGTTCAAGTTTTATACTCCCTAGAGAAAGAGCGGGCGAACCCATTGGAAGATGTTCGAGTTCCATACTCCCTAAAGAAAGAGGGAACGAACCCATTTACAGAGGATTATTCAAGTTCTATACTTCCTGAAGAAAGAGGGAGCGAACCCGTTTGAAGAATATGTCCGAGTTATATACTCCCTAGAGAAAGAGGGAACGAACTCGTTTGAAGAAGATGTTCGAGTCTTATACTCTCTGAAGAAATAAGGAGCAAACACGATTGTTAAGATTGTTTGAGTCTCATACTCTCTGAAGAAATAGGGAGCAAACACAATTGTTGAAAATTGTTCGAGTCTCATACTCTCTGAAGAAATAGGGAGCATACACGATTGTTATTATTGTTCGAGTCTCATACTCTCTGAAAAAATAGGGAGCAGACACGATTGTTGAAGATTGTTCGAGTCTCATACTCTCTGAAGAAATAGGGAGCAGCCACGATTGTTGAAGATTGTTCGAGTCTCATACTCTCTGAAGAAATAGAGAGCATAAACGATTATTGAAGATTATTCGAGTTCTATACTACCTGAAAGAAATAGGGAGTGAACCCGTTTGTAGAAGATTCTTTTCAAATCTCACTCACCATGAAGTTTCAGTAAAACGAATCAATTTTTGGAATTTTTCATAGTCGGACAAATTTGACCATCTATTGATCTTTGCTCCATTCTCGTTACACGATAATGAGCAAAGAGGGGCAGCTGTAGATGCTCATTTTTTCCGGGGCTCTCGTTTAGTTGTTATTTTGTTTTATTTTATTTTTTTATATTCTCTAGTTTTTTTATCGAGTCTTGTATATCTATTAGTTTATTATTGGTATGTGTGTTTAATTACGTATTGACCGTTTCTTTTATTTATATGAGTAGTTATGTTTGTGGTCCTGTAAATATATATATATATATGTATGTATGTATGTATTATGGGTATATGAATTAATATGCATGATAAATGGAGTTACTAAGTGTTTTATTGTTATAGGCCCGAATTGCCAACATATTACAACAATACCCAAACTAATGAAGAGCTCAACAACCCAATTGTAGAGACCCTAAGTCATTAGGGTTTCCTATCCCAACTTCCAGCGCCGTAACATGAAGGCCGTTGGATCTGTCATCAGGATCCAACGGCTCACAACGTCCCAAGCATCCCGAGCCAGCGCATAGATGCTCTCAGAACTCCAAGACAGTGCGCGAACCAACCGAGTGCTACCCACGTGAAGTCCCTCGGGGCTGTTCCCCACTACCCGTGCCCGGGCAGCTGAAGCCCTATGACCAGCTCGCACCCGTGACCTGCAAGCACACCAAGCAAGGAGCAGAACGAAAGGCACAGAAAACAGAAAGAAAAATCAACTAGATATAACAGTGAAAATGAAATCGAGGGGGGAGATGATCAACCAACAACGAAAGCACAAAAGAGGAGTGATCCTGAACCGATCAGCAGCAGAGAAGAACAGAAAATAGAAAGAAAACACAAATTAACCAAAAAAACGAATCATCGAGAGAACCAAAAAAGGAAATCGTTAACAGCGACCCCAAAAGCTTTGAGCAACAAACCCATAAACAATCGAAGAGCAAAAATCAACAAAAAGGGAAAAACAGAACCCTTACTTCCTTGTATTAAAAAGAGAAACCATCACCGTCGCATAAAACCCGAGCCCTACTGAGTCGTCGAGGGTAAGATTTCCACCTCTAGGCTACTATTGCTGCGTGAGAGAGGGTTTATGGAGTCTGGGTTTTAAAGGGTTAGTCTCGGGTTTCTAGGTTAAGGGTTTTGCATGTAGGTTTGTAGTTTAGTTTTTGTCCCCATAGTCCATACTGGCATCGAAAAACGGTGGAGGTGAGTGAGAGGCCAGTTACGTCGTGTGTTTGAGGGATTTGAAGGGTTCTGTCAATGGGGTTTTTACTTGAAGAAATTAGACCTAGGTTTTTATGGGTAAAAGAAAGGCTTAGGGTTTGCTTGGTTCCTTATCAAAATCGTTGGGGTTGACGATGCCACGGTGGCCATTGGTGTTGGGGGTTTTTGTTTAAGTTTAGGCTTGAGGTTGGGAATGGAGAGAGTTTGAAGAGAAAATGGTTAGGGGTGAGGGTTTTCTGGTTTAGGCAGAGTGAAATAATGAGTTAGGGTTCCAAAGTTTACCTTAAAATCCTTTATATTCATACGTCCAAACGACGTAGTTTTGAACGGCTCCAAAACGGCAGCGTCTTGATAGCTAGGGGGAATCCGTGTTTTGGGATGGTTGGGGGTAACCACGCGTAAGGTCCAATAGGTTCGATCTGTCTCATTTTGGTCCCTAAATCGAGCTTTCTTGGGGTTTCAATTTTACCTCCTAACTTTCAGCGTGTTTCATTTTAGTCCAGTTACATGTTATGGTTGTTTTTGCGCAAATTTTACATTGGATGTGTAATTTAGGGAACTTGCATTATGATCCTGTGTAGCACTTTTGTTATATTATATTTGGAGTATCTGGAAATGAAATTTATGAAAAGTGCACGCTGCTTATTTTTCTTTATATTTTAGTCCATTGTCTAATATTTTTATGCATGATTGTAGGTTTAATTTAGATTTACTTAAGTGTATGCATGTATATAGTATTTTGAGCGTGTTGTTAGTACGAATATATTTAGGTGTATTTTAAAAAAAAAGCATGTTGGCCTCATGTGCATAACTTAACTTGATTACATAATCGGATTAAGGGTAATACCCTCTTAATTTAAAATTGTCAGAATAACTTTTCTTAACTCATAGGGAAGTTTTTCTTGACGGTTTTAAATTACAAGTGTATCCCGTCATTGTCACAAAAAAATGGATTCTTTACTTTAAAATTTGGGAATGAAAGAAATAGAAATATTCGGCTATTTAAATTATTTGAGAAAAGATCGTTAGAACTCACCTAAAGATCTGGTCTCGATATTTTTAAATAATCGAATATCCTTTATCTTTCTAATGACTTGGTAATTTTAAATTAACATATTTTTTTGCTTTTCAATATTACAAATTTCCATTTTTATTGTTTAAAGGGATCATTAATCAAATTAAACTCGAACTTGTGAAATTTGTTACAGAGACATTAATTAATCGACTAGGTACCGATTTAGGGCGTTGTGGGGGTGCTAATCCTTCCCCACACGTAATCGACTCCCGAACTTGGATTTTGGTAACGTAGACCGTAAATTTGTCGTTTTAATTAAAATTAAATTTTTATTTAAAATGACAACGTTTTTGGGTGCCCAGTCACACCCTAATCAAAGATTGGCGGCGACTCCTCGAACCTTATATTTTTATCGTAAAGGAATTTCTAATTTTTCGAAACGAGAGGGTTTCTAAAATTGTATTGTTTTTAATTAAAATTCAATTGAAAAGAGAATAATTAAAAATGACGCGGTTTTCTAAATCTCGCCCCGCACCGGTAAAAATCGTTTCAACAAATTTGTTATATCGAAATATCAAAATGTTTTAAACAATCTCCCCCTTTTTGATATAACAAAACATTTTAGTAATTTTAAGATTTTGAAATCAAGTTTTGAAATTACTCCCCCTTACTCTAACACTTCTCCCCTTTAAAACACTTTAACATTTCTCCCCCTTTTTGTTAAATCAAAAAGACACTTAAAAGATTTTAAACAAGGTTTTGAAATCATTAAGCTAATTGATTATAAATATATATAGCTTAAGCTGCTAAGATCACAATCAAGAGAAACGTTAGCCATTAGTTCCATAATTCAATATTCATAAATAATGTAAAATGACAAAAATTGGTCATAATGCAACTAATATGTAAATGATGCAAAAATAAACATTAAGCTCAAAATGAAAGTAAAAATCAATCCAAATATATAAGCATGTAAGTTCAAATATCCAATTATCCAACAAATTCAAACACCCAAAATAAAACAATCAATGAACATCAAAATGTTTCATAATTAAAAGTTATGAGTTCGGGACAATAAACCCATTGACCCAAAGACCGAGTTTGATAAACAAATTACTAAAGAGACAACCATAAACCAAGGTTTCTATATTCTTGGAAGGAACAATGTTTATGGAAACTCACTAAAGATGATATGTGGCAGATTAATCTTCTTTTTATGTTGGATACAATATATCCACCATATATCTATGTTCCTAAGGGAAGAGTACCTACCTCTGGATGGTCTAAACCACCAAGAGATCAAATAATGAAGGAAACTATCATGATGAGTTATTAGGGTACTCTCACTATCCTTAGACTTATAGGGTGAATCCACAGTCTCTTTTTCATTAAACCTAAGTTATCTAGTCCAAAATGGGTAGAGATTGTGCCGGAGTCAATAAAAATGAATTGTCCTAAAAGATATGATCGAATTCCTATAGTTTCAGATCGACGCTCGTGTTGAACATATACCACATTGGAATAGAAAAATATGGATTAATTGATGATAAACCAAAGGTTTGAGTTTAAAGAGTTTATCAAACTTTTAGGATTTAAGATTAGGAAGATATTGGAAGTCCATATCTTCTATAGCTTGGATCGAAGGGATACGCTCTTCCCAGATTTTGTATGACTCAAAACAAGTATGGTACATATGGTATAGATCTTGTCCACAACCAGGTACGTTGAAACAAGAGTTCATAATAGTCATATTTGGGTTATTTGGATTGGGTGGAGGAATAAGAGGTCGATTTTGACTTGAGCTACTAGACAATATCCTAGGTCGTTTAGGATTTGACATGGTTTAAGAATCAGAATAAATATGTAACCTACAAATTTAAACATATGTATGCAATATAATCAAACCCAAAACTCAAATGAGTCCTCAATATTTCAAGGTTCTCTAAACCAAATCCTGAAGGGCAATGTTTTGAAAAACTATTTGGAAAATAATGTTTGAAGATCATAATACGTATATTTTTTATGAAAACATAATTGAATCAAAAACATCAATTAAAACAACAATTTTTGATTTTTTTATTTTGAAATTTAAAAATAGTTATGAAAAATTGAGTGTTTTTGACGAAACTGGTTGTAAAATTATCATATAACCAATGCCCGATGTAATGTTCATCTTAGAACTAATCAAAACTAGTCCTAAGTTCAAAAATCAATGAAATAGAGGATTTTGAAATATTACTTTGAAAATTTGGATTTTATGAGAATGTGATGTTGTTTGCAAGGATTAGAAGTTGAAGAACGATATAATTCCGACTTGTATTTGATGATTTTGGAAAAAATAGAGATTTAGAGAGAAAGAGAGGATGAACGACGTTTAAGAAAGAAGAGAGATTTTGAGAGAATGGGTTTTCTGGTCGTGATATATCCAGAACCCGTGGGGGTATCGATTCCCTAAGGGGAATCGGTTCCCCTTCAAAGGGGGAATCGATTCCCTTTCAAGGGGGTATCGATTCTCTCTGTCCTATAATTCAAAAATCTGTATTTTAAACACTCAAAATACTAAATTAATCTTCTCTAGTGGTATTGGTAACTCATATATCAAAAATTAATTATGTTCAATCAATCAAATTAATCTTTAAACTACATTTGAACATAAAGTTAATTTTTCATCAAGAATCATAAACTCCACCTAACTAATAGCAATGAATGTAATCAGAAATTACTATTATAAGCATTTTTCATTTATTCTTTAAAGTGCTAAAATTATTTTAAACACTTAGTGAAGATAGGTCATTTAAACCTAATTCTCTCCTAAGTGTCCAAAAACGTTCCTTGTCTAAAGGTTTTGTAAAGATATCCGCTAATTGATGCAAAGTATTAACAAATTCTAGAACTACATCTTCCTTAATGACATGGTCTCTAATGAAGTGATGTCTTATTTCAATGTGCTTAGTTCTAGAGTGTTGGGTGGGATTTTTAGTGAGACAAATAGCACTAGTATTATCACACTTGATAGGAATGATATCTACTTCAATTCCATAATAAAAAAGTTTTTGTTTCATCCATAAAACTTGTGCACATCAACTATCAGCTGAAATGTATTCGACTTCAGTGGTAGATAATGCAACACAATTTTGTTTCTTTGAAAACCAAGAAATCAGCATATTTCCAAGGAATTGGCAAGTACCAGAGGTGTTTTTCCTATCTAATTTGCATCCTCCATAATCTGCATCAGAAAAGGCATGCAAGCTAAAGCTAGAGTCTCTGGGATACCAAAGTCCTAAACTAGGAGTGTCCTTAAGGTATCTAAAGATTCTCTTAACAGCTAGTAAATGTGATTCCTTAGGGCATGATTGAAATCTAGGACATAAGCAAACACTAAACATAAATTCCGATCTACTTGCAGTTAGATAAAGTAAA